GCCATAGAGTGCCTTAATACCCTAATGCACAAAATTGATTTGCGTAATGAACTTTAAGACATAATTATTTTAAGAGAACTATTTTCTACTTTAGAGTGTTAAAACCAGTCTTCGAGTGAAATTCTTGTTTTTAAAAGAGTATATTTTTCCTCCTAAAAGAGACCAGGGATTGAAATAGACTTATTTGTCCGATGTAAACTTAAGCTGTGCAGTATAAAAAGTAACACAGTCTATACATTCAGTAAACAGTACCGTCTGGTATCCGTAATTGATGTGATCTAATTCATGCATTTAAATTATCAAATATCTGAAGCTTGCCATATTCAATTAGATTTCTTCTTTCATCTATAAACAATGTGATATTTATTTGTTTAAAAATATAAGAAAATGCACATACGACATCCATCTAAAGTCACGACGTAATTTGTCAAATTCTAAAAATTTGACAAAAGCGTAAACTAAAAGTTAAGCTGGCTACACTTTGAGTGTTAGTATCAATTGAATACTAAACATAATCTCATGGGAAGTACTAGAGTTTTATCCTCTACTGGATAATAAACATAATCTTAAAGGAAGTACAACATATTTTCTTAAAAAAAGGTTTAAAAAAAGAATAAAGTCGTAAGGAAAGGTAGAAGAAAAAAAGAATAAGTGGACAGAAGAGAAGATAAATTAAAGTTTTGGGGGAGGGTAGATTTTAGAGTTATGCTTTAGTAGGATTCGACTTTAACCCCTTTTATGAGAAATAGGTAATTTAAAAAAAATAATCTCTAATTCATATGTAATACAAACAAGCGTAGTAAGCAATGTTAAAATTTAGAAAAATTATAAACTTAACGAGTTCAAAAGTGAGACACATAAGTTTAACAATTATGTTTGGCCTGCAAGGTGATCAATATTGAGCAGCCTGATAATATTTGTATGGAGCAGTCGATAATCAACCACATGGAACGGTCTAATGCGCTGCTTTTAGCGCTCGCCGAAATCCGCTAAATATAAGCCAGCTTATGTTGACCATTGTATGTCAAGTCAGCCCGCGGCTATAAAAGTCACAATCATCTGTCAAGATTTTCCCAAACCATCTTGAGACCGTGCACTTTTGTGAAAGCCAACAATAATGAGAGCCTTCGTGATATCAACTTTTTTCTTCATGGCTATCGTTGCTGCAGCTTATGGTGCGGCAATGTTAGAAATGGGTAAGTAAATCACATACAATTAAAGAAAGAGCACATCAGACTAAGACTGCAAGAAACACCAGACTAAGCACCAAGAAACATCCGACTAAGAGACCAAGAAACATCCGACTAAGAGACCAAGAAACATCCGACTAAGACACCAAGAAACATCCGACTAAGACACCAAGAAACATCCGACTAAGACACCAAGAAACATCCGACTAAGACACCAAGAAACATCCGACTAAGACACCAAGAAACATCCGACTAAGAGACCAAGAAACATCCGACTAAGAGACCAAGAAACATCCGACTAAGACACCAAGAAACATCCGACTAAGACACAAAGAAACATCCGACTAAGACACCAAGAAACATCCGACTAAGACACCAAAAAACATCCGACTAAGACACCAAGAAACATCCGACTAAGAGACCAAGAAACATCCGACTAAGACACCAAGAAACATCCGACTAAGAGACCAAGAAACATCCGACTAAGAGACCAAGAAAAATCCGACTAAGAGACCAAGAAACATCCGACTAAGAGACCAAGAAACATCCGACTAAGAGACCAAGAAACATCCGACTAAGAGACCAAGAAACATCCGACTAAGACACCAAGAAACATCCGACTAAGAGACCAAGAAACATCCGACTAAGAGACCAAGAAACATCCGACTAAGACACCAAGAAACATCCGACTAAGACACCAAGAAACATCCGACTAAGAGACCAAGAAACATCCGACTAAGACACAAAGAAACATCCGACTAAGAGACCAAGAAACATCCGACTAAGACACCAAGAAACATCCGACTAAGAGACCAAGAAACATCCGACTAAGAGAACAAGAAAAATCCGACTAAGAGACCAAGAAACATCCGACTAAGAGACCAAGAAACATCCGACAAAGAGACCAAGAAACATCCGACTAAAACACCAAGAAACATCCGACTAAGAGACCAAGAAACATCCGACTAAGAATCCAAGAAACATCCGACTAAGACACCAAGAAACATCCGACTAAGACACCAAAAAACATCCGACTAAGACACCAAGAAACATCCGACTAAGACACCAAGAAACATCCGACAAAAACACCAAGAAACATCCGACTAAGTGACCAAGAAACATCCGACTAAGAGACCAAGAAACATCCGACTAAGACACCAAGAAACATCCGACTAAGAGACCAAGAAACATCCGACTAAGACACCAAGAAACATCCGACTAAGACACCAAGAAAAATCCGACTAAGACACCAAGAATCATCCGACTAAGACACCAAGAAACATCCGACTAAGACACCAAGAAACATCCGACAAAGAGACCAAGAAACATCCGACTAAGAGACCAAGAAACATCCGACTAAGACACCAAGAAACATACGACTAAGACACCAAGAAACATCCGACTAAGACACCAAGAAACATCCGACTAAGACACCAAGAAACATCCGACTAAGAGACCAAGAAACATCCAACTAAGAGACCAAGAAACATCCGACTAAGACACCAAGAAACATCCGACTAAGACACCAAGAAACTCCAGACTAAGACACAAAGAAACTCCAGACTAAGACACCAAGAAACTCCAGACTAAGACACCAAGAAACACCAGACTAAGACACCAAGAAACATCCGACTAAGACACCAAGAAACATCCGACTAAGACACCAAGAAACATCCGACTAAAACACCAAGAAACATCCGACTAAGACACAAAGAAACTCCACACTAAGACACCAAGAAACATCCGACTAAGACACCAAGAAACATCCGACTAAGACACCAAGAAACATCCGACTAAGACACCAAGAAACATCCGACTAAGACACTAAGAAACAACCGACTAAGGCACCAAGAAACATCCGACTAAGATACAAGGAAACTCCAGACTAAGACACCAAGAAACTCCAGACCAAGACACCAAGAAACTCCAGACTAAGACACAAAGAAACTCCAGACTAAGACACCAAGAAACTCCAGATTAAGACACCAAGAAACACCAGACTAAGACACCAAGAAACTCCAGATTAAGACACCAAGAAACACCAGACTAAAACTACAAGAAACTCCAGACTAAGAATAACAAAAAAAAAATCAGACTAAGCCAAAAAGAAACATCATATGAAGACATCAAGTACCATAAGACTTAGAGACCAAGAAACACCCGACAAAGACACCTAGAAACATTTCACTAAGACGCCAAGAAACTCCAGACTAAGACACAAAGAAACACCAGACGAAGACAAGAAACACCAGAAAAAGACCAAAAAAAAACACCAGACTACGACACCAAGAAACACCAGACTGAAACAACAAGAAACACCAGACTGAAACAACAAGAAACACCAGACTGAAACAACAAGAAACACCAGACTGAAACAACAAGAAACACCAGACTGAAACAACAAGAAACACCAGACTGAAACAACAAGAAACACCAGACTGAAACAACAAGAAACACCAGACTGAAACAACAAGAAACACCAGACTGAAACAACAAGAAACACCAGACTGAAACAACAAGAAACACTAGACTGAAACAACAAGAAAAAACAGACTGAAACAACAAGAAACACCAGACTGAAACAACAAGAAACACCAGACTGAAACAACAAGAAACACCAGACTGAAACAACAAGAAACACCAGACTTAAACAACAAGAAACACCAGACTGAAACAACAAGAAACACCAGACTGAAACAACAAGAAACACCAGACTGAAACAACAAGAAACACTAGACTGAAACAACAAGAAACACCAGACTGAAACAACAAGAAACACCAGACCGAAACAACAAGAAACACTAGACCAAGACAACAATAAACACCGGACAAAGAAAAACCAGTCTAACACAATTAGAGACATCAGAATAAGACAACAAGAAGCACCAGACTGACAAAAAAATCCAGACTAAGAAGTACTAGAATAAGACAACAGGAGACATCAGACTAAGACAACAAGAAACACCCGACTAAGACAACACGATAACTCACACTAATACACAAAGAAAGACTAGACCAATACAATAAAAAACAACATCAGACTAAGACAATAAGAAACATCACACTAAGAATTACAAGACTAACACTACTAGAGACACCAGACTAAGACAACAAGAAACACTAGACTAAGACACCAAGAAACACTAGACTAAGACAACAAGAAACATCAGACTAAGACATCAGACTAAGACATCAGACTAAGACGCCAAGAAAAACCAGACTAAGACAAGCAACTCCAGACTATGAAAGACCAAATTAAGACAACGGGAAACATCAGACTAAGACAAAAAAGATATCAGACTAAGACAAGAGACTTCAGACTAAGACAGCAAGAGAAATCAGACATCAAGAAAATACTGTAGAAGTTTAACTGAACGATAACTTTCAGTTTATTCAGTCTTTCTCGTCTTTCAACTATTTTAATGTAAAATTATTAAGTAACGTAAATGATCTAGATAATAGATAATCTAGTAAGGCGATGATCTAGTCAGAAGATGATATAGTCAGGAGATGACGTAGTCAGGAGACGATCTTCTCAGGAGATGATCGAGTCAGGAGATGATGTAGTCAGGAGATGATCTGGTCAGGAGATGATATACTCAGAAGATTAGTCAGGAGATGATCTAGTCAGGAGATGATCTAGTCAGGAGATGAAACATGTTCAGTATTTATTATCTCTCATTACACCCATCTTACAGTATACCCCATCTTACAATATACCTCATCTTACAAGATACCCCATCTCAACCTATCATCTCAGCCTATCATCTCAGCCCATAATCTCAGTTCATCTCAGATTAAAGATTGCCTCGTACTTGAGTATACTTCACATCTAGAGCACACTCTGGCTCACGCTATGAGTTATATCGTAGTGTACCATATGTCACAATGCTGCTCATCTCACAGTATACTTTATCTGGTGTCATTCCTCTTGTTGTCCTCTCGGATACAAAACTTCAGCTAAGTGGTATTATTATTTAATTCCCTTTTTACCATTATTCATTCGCCGGTGAATAACTTAATATCAAATCTAAGCTGATAGTTAACTTAATTGTCCTGCTGCCTAGCAGTTACATATTAGGGCCTTTTCTAGATGTTTAACCGTGTTAACCCCACCTCCCCCCCTATACGAGAATTGAAGTATGCCACCCATCCCGTTTACTACCATCAGCCCCCTCCCCCTAGGTCATCCAGGCTCGAAGAATTCATTCATTGGATATAAAATAACTTCAGTTATGTCTCAGAAGGGATGAGAATGATGAATGCTCTTTGACTTGAAAGTGTTGTGCAGTGGGCCACAATTCTTCAGATTCAATTGTAGTTCCATGGGTTACATCGGATCAACTATTTTCATGTCAGCAGCAAATGGGACCTGGAAAGAGCTGTATGTCCTGTTCATGGAGATTGGTTAATTTTTAATATTTTATTTCGGAGTGGGGAGATTGTGCAACTCCTGTTTTATTTTTTTTTTTCAAACTCCAGGTTTTGAATTGTGAGGAGATGGTCCAATTTTTCCTCCTTTTCCCCTTATTTGAAATGCTTTCACATTTAAATACATATGAGAGATGAGATTCTCATGACCTTGAAATTGTACATTACACGCAACGGAGACTCAAATGGCAAACGTCCACTGGCTTGAGTAAACGCAGACGGAAAAATCCAATGTATGAGTCTTAATATCAGCTCTATGATACCAGCTCCTCGATACCAACTAAAAAATACCAGCTCCACGATACCAGCTCCACGATACCAACTAAAAAATACCAGCTCCACGATACCAACTAAAAAATGCCAGCTCCACGATACCAACTAAAAAATACCAGCTCCACGATACCAGCTCCACGATACCAACTAAAAAATACCAGCTCCACAATACCAGCTCCACGATACCAACTAAAAAATGCCAATTCCACGACACCAACTAAAAAATACCAGCTCCACAATACCAGCTCCACGATACCAACTAAAAAATGCCAGCTCCATGATACCAACTAAAAAATACCAGCTCCACAATACCAGCTCCATGATACCAACTAAAAAATGCCAGCTCCACGATACCAACTAAAAAATACCAGCTCCACGATACCAACTAAAACATACCAGCTCCACGATACCAACTAAAAAATACCAGTTCCACGATACCAACTAAAAAATACCAGCTCCACGATACCATGTCTACGATGCCGAACTTCATGATAACGTAAACTCTTCATCCACAACACCATGTCCGTTATTCACCTCCACAATTCCATCGCCACAAAATTACCGACACGATACCATCTCCGCAATACCAGTTCCACGACAAAGCTCCACATTCCAAGCTCAGCGATACCAGATCCACGTTGTCAGCCCTGAGAGCGAAAATGTTCGTAGATGAACCTATGCTAGTGCATACATTGCTTTTGATATTGTTTCTATGTCATTACTCTGTTTATGTGAAGCATTTTCATTCGTCTTTCGCTTCAACATTTAAACTTCATTTTTGAAAAGAAAAATTAACACGTGAACCATACCATGGTCTTCAAAAAAAAAAAAAAAAAAAAAAAAAAAAAAACAAAAACCAAAAAAAAAACATAAAAAAAAAAAAAAAAAAAAAAAAAAAATTAAAGTCATAGTTGTCTTTTGACAAATTAAACACGTATAAAGAGAAGTCACTGTAATCAGCTATTTCATCTCCTTGTTTCATTGTAATTATAATAATTAAAGGACTGCTTTCAATGTATTAAACGTCCTAATCTTTTTGTCCTGTTCTCTAATTCAAGCGTGCACATACCTCGTTTTGCTATTTCATTCATTCTAATTAGTAATTTTATTAAATCTTAATATCATTGTATGTAAATTGAATTTATTTATTTATTTATTTATTTAGGCATTTTTATATAGCGCTTATCATAAAGCTCTAAGCGCTTTACAATTATTAAAACATGTGAACTAAGTAAAATAAAAATGAGACACTAGGATAGTAACTACTATTCTATGCATTTTTATATAGCGCTTATCATAAAGCTCTAAGCGCTTTACAATTATTAAAACATGTGAACTAAGTAAAATAAAAATGAGACACTAGGATAGTAACTACTATTCTATAGAAACAATGAAAATGGCTATAAAACGAGGACACTTTGACACTTCAGGATCAACCCGAAACAGAAAATGAGGTAGGGCAAGGAGGGTGCATCACAGGTCATAGGCGGACCTAAACATTATTCTCGGTCTAGACATATGAATGAATTGTGAAACAGTTGACGGTCTAAATGAAGATGTATCCTATTGTCTCAGTCTTGGGACGCTATGAGGCCTTTAATACTTGATCAAAATACAAATTTGCTTACGGCCTGAGTCTCCAAACCAACGTTAAATGGCTTGGATTTGATCTCTGGTCTACCGCTTCCTTCTTTTATGTCTAGCAGTTCCCGAAAACTAAGCTCTTAAGTTTTGATGTGTTTTGATGAGTTGTTATAATGTTGGACAACGTCAGCAAATGTTTTTATGTTCACAACATTCAAAATTTCAAAATGTTTAAATCATAAATTAAATGAGCGTCCCCACCCCTCCATTCCCCACTCCTCATTCCCGTCTGTTCCAGGTGAGTGTCCAGACGGTCATGTTAACGGAGATTCGTGGGAACTTCCTGGATGTCAAGGTTGTGATTGTGGTGACGGATGGTATGGTTGTTACGGGTAAGTTATTATTTTTTTTTTGTTGTTGCTATTTTTTTACTGTGTTTGGCGTTATGGAAAGTGTCATCAGGGACGAAGCCGCCTAACAAAAAGGTACGCCGCTGGAGATACCTACTGCCAAAGGTCCTGGTAATAACACTAATCACGGAATGTCTAGCAATGTGAGACTTCAATCTATTACTTCCCCAGGGTCTCCACTCTATAACTCCTAACTATGACTTGATCTATAAGTTGATCTATGAATTTATCTATAACTTTATCAAATATATAAATATATATGTTTATCTATACGGTTTTATAATTTTATGTATGGCTTGATCCAAACTTTATCTATAACTTATCTAAACTTTTTATATGACCTTTTCTTTGGCTTTATCTATAACTTCTAGGACGTTATCTATAGCTTTATCTAGGACGTTATCTATAGCTTTATCTAGGACGTTATCTATAAAATTATATATAACCTTATCCAGAACATTATAACTTTATATATAACTTTACCTAAAGCTCTAAGATAAAAATACTCTGTATTAACAGCAATTCAACTGGAAAATTGCTCTTGACTTTTGCTCCAGACAGCGATAAGCGACCGCTAAAATGCAATATTTATCCTCACAGATGTGGTTTAATGGCTTTCTATTACGACACGTATTCATGCTACGTCCAGGACAACTTAGACAAAGGCTACCCCCAATGCTGTAATCAAGATTTAATTTGTAAAGGTGATGAGGGTTTTGACGAGTCCAAACTGCGACCAGATCCAGAGCAGATCAGAGATCTGCCAGTAGAAGTCGAGGAACTCAATGCCACTGACGACCCCATACTCGTCGTGGACCCCGATGAGTCTGTAGAGTGACTCGCAATCCCCAAGGAAGTCACTGCCACTCCCCATGTTACTGCATAAGATTGTGGTTTAGATGGAAATTAACCTATATTGGATTCTAATAAAAAGATTCCCGTTCCATGAAAATGAAATCAATTTTTATTTAGATCTTAACATTTAAAAAAAATTGAATTCCTGGTTTCTTATTTGTTCATTAAAAGAAATGTGTACACATATTTAGAAATTGTTTCTACAGATATTTTAAAAACATATTTTTCTTGCATGCTGCATCGTTTGTGTACTTGGCATTATTTTTGTTTTTGGTCAAAGTCATAATCGGGCTTTTTGTTGTTTTGTAAATTTTAGTAGATCAATGTTATAACTATTGGATACCAGTTTAATTTTTTTTTAAAATTAACATAACATTACTGATATATCAATCCGCATTACTGATAAACCATTCACTGAACGGAATAAGTCAATGCTTTACATTATAGCCATTGCTATACAGTATAGACATTGCTACACATTAGAGTCGTTTCTATACATTATAGAAGTTGCTATACATTATAGACATTGCTATGAATTATAGACATTGCCATACATTATAGAATTTGCTAAAAATTATAGACATGCTATACATTATATACAGTGCTATACATTATAGACATTGCTATATATTAAAGACATTGCTATACATTATAGACAATGCCATACATTATAGACAATACTATCAATTGTCCAAGGAAAATGGGATTCCTTTACATCACGTCACCTAAAAGTAACAAATTTCTTCCTGTTCTTGTGGTCAACCTGAGATTTTCGAGATCGTATATTTTGTGCTTGGTTTCTACCATTTCCGTTTCTGTCAAATTTTATATTCCTTCTTTTTATATTATCAATGCAATGTATGATCTTTATTATAGCATTGTATGGGTTAATATCTATTTAATATGAATTTTCGAACTTTTTTAAAGATGTTAATAAATTTTGAACATTATTATTTCACTTTAGTAAAACAGCTGCACGGCTAAATTATTTAAAACAAGTTCTTAAGTAGGTAAAGTAAATTCTTAGACTAATTCATTGAACGATTTAAGCTAAGGAAACAATCATTGTTTTTTTAGAGAGTATCTCACAAATATTATACATTTATTTTGATGACGTAATGAACAGTTGTATTGTTTAATCACGCACATCTGATACACAGGTAATGCTATGCTGAAATAAAGACTGCCGATTTACACAATTAATTAAGTTTGCATCGTCTCGGCTGGATCTCCGGGACATAAATTTAGTTTAGTTGCATCAGGCAGGGGGTTGATATGAGATTTCTAACCAAGGGTTAAGTCAAAACGGTAGGCGGTAGGTTTGACATTGTGGTTAGCGTTAATTCTATTTTACAACTGGGGGGTCAAAGCGTGGTTAAGAGACCCTCTTCTGAGAGGAATGAGTAAAAAAAAATTTTTTTTAAAAATGGGGCACGGTCCCTAAACCTTACCGAAACATGCCTCACCCAAAAAGGAAACTGTAAAAATAGAAATGCAAACACCAGATGAAAACACAACACGGTCCTACTCGAAGCTACTAGAACAGATTACATCCTCTTTGGGACGGACCCAAACTACCGTCATCGCTGAAAGCCGCCGGAGACAGTAGCGCATTTGCTCATTTCTCGAGTGCCCGACACAAATGAGTGGAGAGTTTTGGAGCACTCCAGACATCTACACAGAAAGCCTGATCTACGACGATGCACAGCAGATGCCGCACAAGCACCCCGGTTGGATAGTACTCGTTCACCTTGTACTGCAACTCAGGTAAGCGAATGAAAACTTTGAAAATCCAAACACGGAAAATGGAGACCCGTAGGTGGTATATAATTGAAGCAATGAAAATTCCAGAAACTCCTGCGGCGCTACTGGTGCCAAGCTGTATCATCCACACACGATGTTCCCTTGGCTTATCTGGGTGCATGGAGAGAGGCGATTTACTGTCTAGGGAACCAGCCTATACTTCTAAAGCAAAAAATCACAGGCCTTGTGTTTTCGTCCTGCGAGGTCTACACCATCGCCACATTGTGACGAGACGATGACCAAAAAGATAGTTAGTTAATGCTTTCACAAAACACAAAACTCAACACTCAGCTCAGTGAAAAAACTGACAACCATGAATAATTTAATTTTATTCGTTCTTGTGATTTCACTCCACCCATAAATCAACCACATATCTCCTCCATTCACTTGATACATTTTCTAGGCCCATAATATTTGACACACGGAAAGAGTGCAACAAACGTTTGAATTTTTACTCAATGATACTGTCTATTGAAATTTCAGGAATCTTATTTCTTTCGTATTTTTTTCTAAACCTTCTCTTGAACTTAAAATAAATAAGTTGTTTTGACAGAAGTTCATCTTACTTGTGAAGCTCAGTGAGCACAAGTGGTCTAAGTCTTTGCTGATGGAGATATGCTGTCGCGTGAAAACCAAACATACGTTAAAACACGACGTCAATCTAGATGCCAATTGCTGCCTTCAACTTAAGGGCTACCCTCCGTTCAATTAGTTGATATTATTATTATCATTAGTATTAGTGCTTCCGGATTTTATTTTTCGTCCGTCGAAGTCGACTAGGACCATCGAATCATCCGGTTAGGGGCTGGGGGAGGGGGGTTGGGATTACGGTGAGCTCGTAGGTGGCTTGTTAGACCGATCCTTGCTCGGAATAGTCTATGACACCGTGGGCATGAAATAGTTGCTTCAGACTTCCGGATAGCAAGAAGATGACCGACACGCACATTTGAGAGATGATTGAAATTGTGGAATAACACGAAATTAAAGAATTAATACCAATAGAGATTTTGTTTTAAAAAATGTAGAAAGCTAGGGTAAATTTCGGGAGTAAACCCAAACTGTTATACCAAAGTTATTTCGTCAACTCCTGTAATGCAGTTTGTGCGAAATTGTATTGACATATGTCATTCGCTTGGAGCTACTGGCTCCGTCTAGAATGAGGATCGTTTGCATTGGGAAACAGCTGGCCTAAATAAAACACCGCCAATGCTTAGTATCTTTGCCGGCGATGATATGCAGAGCTTATTTACATAGCAACAAAATAAAACGAAGCCCTTGTCAAAGGAAAAAAAGAGAATGAAGGAAGGCTAGGGTAAACAAGGAGTAAATGTTCTAAAGCGAGAAGTTCAACATGGGAGAGTCATTTCAGGAAATGTGATAACTGTAGCCGAGACTGCCATTCCAGGAACAGTCTAGACTTCCATTCCAGGATCAGGTGAGATTGACATTCCAGGATCAGGTGATAATGACATTCCAGGATCAGGTGAGACTTCCATTCCATGATCAGGCGAGATTGACATTCCAGGGTCAGCCGAGACCTTTATTCCAGAATCAGATGAGTCTGACATTCCAGGATCAGATGAGAATGACATCCAAGGATCAGGTGAGAATGACCTTCCAGGATGAGGAGAGTCTGACATTCCAGGTTCAGGTGGGAATGACATTCCAGGATCAGCCCAGACTTCCATTCTAGGATCAGGCGAGATTGACATTCAAGGGTCAGGTGAGAATGACATTCCAATAAAAATCACACCCATAACCGGTTGCCCCTGTCCCTTCAAAAAATTTTTAAAAATATTTGGGCACTTGAGTGTGTTAAATTCCCTAGTATCAAGTCGAAATTTTCTTTAAAAAATTTAGAATGCTTAACTAATACATTTTTATTTTCAAGTTTACACACGCCGTTCCCTCTCCCAGGCTCGGCCACTGGGATGGGGGTAGTTTTTAGAATAATAAATTTTCTAGGGCTTCGTTACGATATTAGCCATTATGTTGTCGCAAATGTGGCTGATTTTTAAATTTACTTTTTCTCTTACCCACCAAGAATGCTGCACCCCAATCCTCTGTTAAATTGGTCCCACTTTAGTGTGTATTCATTAATTTAACATGTGTAATAGTTTATTAATGGCTGATTAATGTCATCGAACAAACCAGTAATTATAATTGTGTTGTCTATATCATGATCCCACGCTCGTAGCTGAAAGAAAAAAAAAGCAGGCTACCCTGGGTTCGACACTTAGAGAGAATGTCAAATGACAGAAGAGTGAAGAGTATGCATCACCAATACCTTAGATGGATGGATGATGTTGAAAAAGATCTAAAGCAGCTTGGAATCCAAGCATGGAAATGAAAATGATCAGTTAGGTTGAGTGGAAGGAAGTGGTGGGGAGGGGGCTTTAGCGCCACAGGAATGGGTGGAAGGTCTGAGTGGAAGGACTGGCGATGCAGGCCAAAGCATTACATGGGCTGTAGCGCAACAGGGATGGATGGAAGGTCTGAGTGGAAGGAAGTGGTGAGTCAGGCCAAAACTCTAAAAGGTCTCAGTGGAAGGATGTAGAGAGCCAGGCCAAAGCTCTAAAAGGTCTCAGTGGAAGGATGTGGTGAGGCAGGCACACTTTTGGAATTTGTCTTAACCAGCATATAACCAAGATAAAGCACTGCTAGAGCCCTTCCTGTCCTGCGCAAATGAGCATTTATTTAATGCAGCCAGGACTGCGCAGGTCAGGTATTTGACACATTTACTTGCTAAATATAAAAAAAAGGGTGCTGGGTGGCCGAGTGGTCTAAACTGACTCACTCCAAATAGGGGTGTTCTGGAGTTCAATCCCCGCCAAAGCAAAATCCCAAGCACCCTTGTTGGATGGGACTCGTTAGCCTTGGAAGGCAACTCATCTAAGAGACGGTTAACTCTGAATTCAAACCAGCAGCCTAAATGATCTACACATTGATCGCGGGCCCTCAAATATGAAAAAAAAGTAGCGAAAGGAGTAGACGTAGATCTGTTTTTTGACCTAACTAGACTTTGGGGGACCGTTTGGTAGCGGCTACTATGGCCCTACTTGATGCATCCGTCACGATTCTTTCGTAGCGATAAGAGACGGCATATTGATTAAGTTGAACACTTGGGATAGGCTGTCAGAATGTCAGAGATTCTCACCCGATCCCGCCAACATGGTACTCGAGACATCGTTAACAAACAATAGTGTAAACAACCTCGCAGCTGTTACATAAGAATCCCGCGGCAGGGTGAGATCAATTTACGATCTATGGATTAAATTTTTAAGACAAGTCTGGCGATGGCTTAATGCTAATACAATTTGCAAATCGTTCAATACTAAAAACCTACAATAAGCAAAAGCCTTTGCATCTGGGGCAGTAGTCGAGTAACATTCACCCATTAAAGATAATTAGAAAGATCTTACCATGTAATATAGAGAAGCGATTAATGAATCAAAATCATTTTCCATTGCAATTCTAGACACACACACACACACTTACCCACCAACAATTAATTTATTGATCACAAGAAATTATTTGAAGTTTATTTGGAAAATTCCAGGTCGACAAGTGTATTGACATTCTACAAACATTTATTTTTTGCATCGAAACATAGCAGTCATTGACGCCCTGTCCATTTACTTCAGTCATACCAATATGTATAATCGTCCGTACAAACACAGAGGTAATGATATGGGGACATGCTGTCTTGACTTTCATAATTGCAATGAGCGAAATACCAATTGCAAGATGCATATAGAAATCCTATGGTACGACAAAACCTTTTGCAACTTTGGCTATCAGGGTTATAGACCGCACCTAATCTGAAATAATAAAATAGGCATGTAATGTCACAATACATTTTGCTTGTTTACCGTTCGACAATAAATTAATTTTTGCATCTCCCGGAATGCTCTTAATTCAAGTTAATTTTGAAATTGAAACTTTAAAAAAAAACAAAAAACTTTAAAAAGCCATTAAAATAATTTCACATTTAAACCCCAAAATATAGGTTTATATATATAATTTATCGCAATATTTAAGATTTCCTTTACAGCTACTACATTGTATTTAAATAAGTACTTAATGACACTGGTCGAAAGTAGAAAGACATTTTTGATAATAGTAATAATAAGGCCTGATACGCATGAGCGCCCGCAGGGGGGGGCAAGAGGGCACTTGCCCCACCCCCTGGATTGATTGGATAAAAAAAATGTAGACAAAAATATACCAAAAATGTATTAAAGTAAAAGGAAAATAAAGAGAAAGTAACTAATCTGATGTCCTGTCCGTTCGTTCACCATAAAAATACGCTAC